GAACTGCCTCAAAGATTCGAGGCAGTGCACTCTCATTGGAAGCTGTCGAGAAACTCACCATTTTTCTGAAGAACATCTCGTTCACCACTTATTACAATGCTGCTGAACTTTCTGGTGATGATGGTTCTGTTATCGAGGGTGGCTTAAACACCTATTTTGGCATCAACAACGAATTCACAAAAGATGAAAAATACGCTTCTGATGGGAGCCAATCAACAAGCAACTCGAGTTGGCCATTCGCAGGTATTTCGGGCATGACATTTTACTATTTGCGAACCATTGTAATCGGGGTTATGCGCATGATTTATGAGCGAGATTCGAGACGACGATTTTTGCCCAAAGATCATTGGCTCATGACGGCACGTTTTGACATGAAAGGCTTTATTCTTGATGTTATCAAGGAGCAAGAAAGGCGACAAGAGGTTGCCGACGGGGAAGGAGCTGAAGCCGAGTTTGAAGGAGATGCAGACGAGTACGAGCCAGTTCAAAGTCTTATGCTGGGTCGTACAACTCGGCCAAGCCACTTGCTGTCTCAAATGAGACAGCAGGATCTTTTAAGAAAGCATCAGCAAAAAATAAACAAGAGGAAAATCATGGCTGCTATTGGGCCCAGGATTGAGGTGTTACAAAATATGCCATTTGTCATACCCTTCGAAACTCGTGTTGAGATATTTCGCCAGTTCGTCGTAATGGATCAACTCAAGAGGCGGTCAGGAGTTATCGATCCGGATTCATGGCGTATGCGAATGGCAAATATGGCACAAAATCGAAATGCCGCACGAGAAACTCTTGGCAGACATCATGCATCGATTCGTCGAGAGTCTGTATTTGAAGATGCATTTGAGGCATTCTTTCCACTCTCAGAAGGCCTCAAAGAGCCAATTCAGATCACATTTGTTGACAGCTTTGGTGCTATTGAGGCTGGTATTGACGGCGGCGGAGTGACGAAAGAATTCCTCACCAGTGTTACTAATGAAGCATTTCGTAGTCCTTTAGATTACGGTAGTAATCCATCACTTTTTGTCACGAATGACCAAAATTTACTCTACCCTAATCCAACAGCTATGGAACAAGACTATGAATTCTTAAGATCGATGGGGATAAACGAAACAAGCCCTGATTGGAGGACATATAGTGTACAGCTGCGTAATCGCATGCACTTCTTGGGCCGCATCGTAGGAAAATGTTTATACGAAGGTATTCTCATTGACATCAATTTTGCTGGGTTTTTCCTTCTCAAATGGTCCGCTGCAAATTCTGGCCCAGAAGCAGCAAGCCGTACTAATCTGAACGATCTACGTGATCTTGATGAAGGATTGTATCAAGGGCTGCTAAAACTCAAGAATTATCCCGGAAATGTCGAAGATTTCTCACTCGACTTTACCATAACCGACACGATTCCTAACGGCATGCCTGATGCCCGCCCTAAAGTTATCACCCGAGATCTCATGCCTAATGGCTCTAATATCCCCGTGACAAATGAGAATCGTCTCCTCTACATTGCTTATGTCGTCCGCCACCGTCTCCACATTCAGCCCTATGAACTCACGCAGGCTTTCCTTCGCGGTCTCGGCCAAATCATAAATCCCTCCTGGTTGAGCATGTTTAACCAAGTTGAACTTCAAACCCTGATTTCCGGCGAGACATCGGATATCAATATCAATGATCTACGCAAGAACACACAGTACGGCGGTGTGTATCAGATGGGCGACGATCAACACGAGCACCCAACGATCATGATGTTCTGGCAGGTCATGGAAGAACTCAAAGATGAGGATAGGAGAAAGGTGCTCAAATATGTTACCAGTACACCGAGAGCACCGTTATTAGGATTTGGATCATTGAATCCGCAGTTCAGTATTAGGGATAGTAGCACAGATGAGGACAGACTACCAAGTGCAAGTACGTGTGTCAACTTACTGAAGTTACCAAGGTATCAAAGCAAAGAGAAATTGAGAGAGAAGTTGCTGTATGCGGTCAATGCGGGGGCCGGATTTGATCTCTCGTGATGTGAAATTCTGAAGAGGGTATGGAAGGACATAAGAAGAGCCCGGGAGTTGGAAAGGGGTGGAGTGAAACAAAGAGGAAAATACTAATGACGCAAATGATAAAAGCGATGCGATGATTGATGATCAAAGAATACACTTACAACATGCATGGCCTAGGCGTTTTTGTATTTTTCGTTTCAGTAGAGAGTTATTTAATGATTAAATGGACGGGCAGGAATCGAATGAGCTGTATGATTAAATAGGGTTAAATGGAAAAATCTCATAAATCACAAAAGCTCGCATGTGGTAAATTGATTCGTTGATTGGACGTTTATTGAGAAAACGGAGAAGAATGGTGGCCTATGTGTCTGGCCTATCTGTCTGCTGCCCGAATAGATGAATATATCGTGTATAGATGTGGAATAATTGTCATTACATTTCTTTCTCACACATTTGAGACTGGGCCACTGACGCTTGAAAAGAGGTACGAGGTCTCCGATTCACGTGTAGGACACAAATCCATTTCAAAGATTCCGAGATTCCATGATCATATTTCACGCTGTGTTGCTCGTCTCGCCTGCTATATCTGCAGAGAAGATGCGCCCGTGAGCGAACTGTCAGAAAGATGTAACTGTGGTATTTTACAAACCACAATATGTTGAGCGAATATCCTGTATGGTTGGAAGAGAGTTGATGTGTGCTGTCTACTTGGTTTTCATGGATAGCTATTTTTATTGACTTGCATCATATTCTTCCATTTTATTGCAATTCATCCATACTGTCTTCCTGTTTTTCTGATAATATTCCTCCAGTCTAATACCACTCCTCGAGTAGTGTCTAGTAACAAAGTAGGGCATGCTGAAGAGGCTAACCTCAGATCTGACAAAATATATACACATCCTCAGATTAACCGAACCGTCCCGTAGTCTGATCTGAAAAGAAGCCGAGATATTGAAGTACGGCACTATGAAAAAGAGATGAGAGACAGCAAGTACAATAAAATCTCCCTGGATCCAAAAAGGGTTACTCAAACCCGAAATTGAAAACGGCAAAGCAATTGTGCACGTGATGTATGGATGTGGCAGGTGCTTTCTTCCATGTCGTCTTCTGGAATTCTTCTGGAATTCTTCTGGAATTCTTCTAGCTCGTTTCACATTTCTCAAAATAGAAGAGCAGATGCATACTCGTCGTTTCATATTTGCCATGATAAGTCTTCATATGTTCATGTCTGTCTGATCTTATTATAGCCTGGGATTTGCTTATCTGCCTCAGATATGGGCATTATCCTACATTTCTACACAACTTTCCTTCGAGATTTCAGCTTGAATCTGAGAAGTAGACTTCAGGATAGTAAAGACTGATTGTACTCAGAATGTCTAAACTCATGAATGCTATCCGTTCACTTGACAGCCCGCTAAAACATACTGGCAGTAGCTCGAAACTATTTAGCCAACGGACTAACAATTCTTTCGTGGACCCGCACTGCTTCAGATTCTGTAGCTCTGCAAAGCTTGATACTTTGGGGGTGTCAACACGCCTTCTAAGTGGGCATCATGGAACCGAATCGGGTGAAAAGAACCATTGAGGTTTTTCGGGGTCCAAAAAAAGATGTTTTCAGACCTAATATGGCTGGTATGATGTTGGTGACGTTGACAAGTGGACTGGTCTCTGTTGGCCGTGCGCTTGTTGTTGAGAAGGAAAAGAAGGAGCTAAAGCGACATGTGTGCTAAGGACGACAAATTGTGACTTATCTGTGTCAGTACATGAGACTAACGATGCGGTTGGCATTCAGAGAGCTAATGCATGACCTCCATGACCTCCTTGAGGCACCAACTTTGCAATGTAGCTGCAGAGACTGCTCGACATCATACTGCACAAGCTTGCTTTGCTGTCCGACTTCGAATCATACAATCAAGACACGCTGGCTTGCTTCGTATGCAAACCATAAACTCTCATTCTTGAACGGCAAAAGTTCGGATTTGACAATGTCTGCTAACACAGAGGAAAGAGGCGACAATTGACGAATTACATGTAGGGGGCTGCACCCCTCTCTGCCACAACGTGGAACTTAGCCAACTAAAACACACGAATTGGTGAAATCTTTCAAATGGTCTATTTAGTCTTCTATCGATGAATTAGTAGATTTGCATCTCTAACCCAAAATCACATTTTCTCAATCCCCTCCACTTCTGTCCTATCTGCCACGGCTCGGGCCGCAAGGTGATTCAAGCGGGGTCGCACTGAGCAGGCATTCCCATCGACGATGCACTTTTTGATGCTATTACGAGATTATGACCAATCGGTTCGACTATTACGATTTTCTCTACTTGGGTCTTTCAAACATTCTTGTCCCTCTTTGATATTGGGCACAAATTCAGTGCTTTAAGCTTTTTTTGACTTTCTCTAGCAAGCTAGTCGACGTACATTAGAGTTCACGTCCGTCGTCAGGTCAAACATCAAAATGTCTAATGAACCTTTAACCTTATCGAGGGAAGGGTCGTTTCTTCCAAGACACTCCACCCAACGAGAATCCTTGTATGGATGCAGATAATGAAAAAAATTACGGAGTAGTTTTCTGCCATTTCGTAACAATTGAAGATTACAAGGATGACCCACCACTCTCCGATATTCGGTTCGTCTCCATGCATCCTGCACCACGTTTCACACAGCAGCAGAGCGCCCAAAATGGCAAACATGCATCATGTAGCATGTTGCTTTGTAATGCAGAGTCGATTATCGATAGCACCACAATTATGTATAGCCCGTCCACTGTTTCTATGTAGCCACGTTCTCTTCAATCTATTTGTGACTTCAAACATTCTGTATCGAAGATCTCATTCTATACTGTATCTGTACCTGTACGTGGCCAGTCCAACACAAAGGAATTCTCTGTGCATTTTTCATGACCCACGAAATACCACGGTCAATTCTCAGACTAACATTTTCCTCAAGATGCTAGCTCCATAGGGAAATTTATTCCTGGATTCAAGAAGTTGGCAGAAAAGTCACACCATGACCATCCCTACTTTGAGATTGAACACCGGAGCCCCAATACCGGCTCTGGGATTTGGTACTTTTCAGAATGAAGGATCCCCAGGAAAGTGCCACGATGCTGTCCTTTGGGCTCTACAATCAGGTTATCGCCATCTAGATTGTGCTTGGTAGTAAGTTCAACCCCTATGTCTCATGTTTATCCGTTCATCCCAACTGTATACTCGATATCTCCTGGGCTCATCCCTTCCCTCTTCCCACTAAAATTCACCCCTATTCCTTGATGAAGGGGTGCCGAAGTATCGGAAATATAGTTTTCGTATTGCGATTTCCCAGCCCTCAAACTAACACACCGCAGTTACAAAAATGAAGAAGAGGTCGGGTCTGCCTTGCGAGAATTCTTGTCCAGTAATCCAAGTGTCAAGCGTTCCGATATCTTCATCACAACGAAAGTGTGGCCTCATCTTTGCGGTTCCCCTAAAGATGTTGAGTGGAGTCTGAATTACAGTTTAGAGAAGCTAGGTGTCGATTATGTGGATTCTTTCTTGATGCATTGGCCATTCGCCGCGGAGAGGACCGACGACTATGAAGTCAAAATCGGAGATGATGGAAAGGTATAACCCACCAATCGATATTAGAATCTGTTGTTCCCAAGTCTAATGATCCTGGCCAGTACATCATCAACAGAGAAGTCACGGCGAACTTGGAACCTATCTGGCGAAGGTTCGAAGCTCTCAACAAAGCTGGCAAGGCAAGAGCTATCGGAGTATCCAATTTTACCATCTCAAACCTGGAGGCTCTTCTTAAGTACGCGGATGTTCCTCCCGCCATCAACCAAGTCGAGATTCATCCCGTCTGGCCTAACACTAAGTTGATCAACTACTGCTTTTCAAAGAACATCCTTCCCGTGGCATATTCGCCTCTGGGATCCCAGAGCCAGGTTCCCACCACTGGCAAAACTGTCATCCAAAACTCTGAACTCATCTCAATCGCTGAAAAGAAGGGTGTTAGCATAGGTCAGATATTGATTGCTTGGGGCATCAAACGAGGATACGTGGTCCTTCCCATGAGTTCGAATGAGGGGAGAATCAAAACCAATGGGACATTAGTCGATTTGACTGAAGAGGAGTTCGAAAGCATGAACAAAGTTTCCGAGGGTCAAGAAACAAGGTTCGTGGATTTGTCAAACACCTTCGGGTGGGATGTATTCGGGGATGAGTAAGGAGATAGGTAGCCTAGCAGACAATTGGCCGTGTCGTGGTGTCTGCTCGTGTCGTTCGATTACACGTAACACAAAGTACCATTATCATATTAGTTGGAATTATGATGCGCATATTCATATACGTGAAGCAAGCACTGAAAAATAAGCTGACCTGACCTCTCGTGATGTTCTTAACTGCATATGCTGTTGGTCTGTCTATTGACTCTGCATTACTAGTTGTCGTTAGCGCTCCATGGCACAGTCACCACTAATGTATACATCAGATTATATTCATCATATCACATTATCTCTCCCAAAGTTAAAAAATCTCTTCATATCCTAATCTTATCTCATCTCGCCGAGTTTTCTGCATCAACCATTACTGTCTTGCCGACCTCTTACCTGCTGAGCCTGCATCCCATGAACCACTCTCCTGGAACCAAAAGTCGGTGAAGATCTAACCCTGCGAGAAAACCTTATACCAATCTAAATCATATCAGAATCAGATTGATATGTTTTAGATTTTCCCAGTGCTTGCTCTACTATGACGAATGGGTACTCCGAATCAACGGCAAGATATGACATCGTTCGCCTTACCCGTGTGTGTGCATCAGGGTATTGGACGGTATAAAAATTATTATGGCAATTGTTGAGGTGTGCGTTTATCGGCGACTGAGTATTTTATCATCTACAAGCTAGCATTTTGCTATGGAATTTATTAAAATAGCACCGTGAATCATATAGCACCACACCTGCAAATAATTGTCAAATTTCCGAATCAGCGGTACATATCAAGGTCAACAATATTAGCCATGACATGTGAATGAGAAACCCGGGGCTCGGAGTAAGACTCCACCCGCTCATCCTTTTTAAAATTACAATGATTCTACCGCTGGATATCTGGGTACATCGCCGTCTATCATTTGAGAGATAGTCATCATCCATGGTATGAGAATCTTTTCACTGCCACCAGTACCAATCATCGAATCGACAGGGAGAGCAGCGAAGAAGAATGAGTATACGCAGAATCAAATTGTCTGAATGGTTGGTCATACGGTGACTCAATGCCCCGACCGATCTCATTTTTATCTCACTGCTGGCTCGCGTCACATATAGATACATACATATATATATGCATGCATTTACAAGTATATCCGTCCGTACCGTGTCATGGAAGGTGCATTATCTCCAAGACCCAAAACGCCATACCACGCCAAGAGAAATCCATTTGAACCGGACTCCGCCTCACATGGAATGCACAAAGTAGGTAACATGAGTGCATAATCTGGAAGCCTACTCTGGAAGCCTACTCTGCTGAACAAACCGTGCAAACCGAATATGATCCATGACTGCAGATATACATGCATGTGATCGAACCTTCTAAAGCCGATATTGAAGTGGTACTAGGCATCTGGATTGGAGGTCGTAGTAAGGCTATCATATTCATCATCAATCACATCGCTTGCCATCTTCATCTAATGCCAATATTCAATGCTGAACCAAATGTCAAACCGGTTTCCTGTCGATTGGTCATAATCCCCGTCGCCGAGTTGGGTGCACTAGATCAAGAGCGTTTTGCGAATGCTGGAACGTTGTCCATCCTTCTTCATTATCAATATGATTAATGATGGAATGGCAGATAGTAACAGATACTAGGTTGTAGTCCTACCGCTAAACTTCCCCTCTTCTTCCCCTTTGGAAGCCTCCGTATCTTCCGTATTCTATTGAACCAACTCCGTTTCCTCCTCTTTTCACTCACTGCCAGCATCATTTATTCATTCGCAATCAGTCCAGCAAGCCCTAAATGTTCCATCTCAAACAACAAAATTCCATCACAAGACCCTTCCTTACTTACCAATAATTCGACCAAACCCCCATACATATATATGCACAAATTCTCGTCTGCAAATCAAACATCACCACCTCCCATCCAAGAAATCATATCGACCCCTCAACATCAAACGTCAAGACCCCCATACATACCATGTGCACATGTTTAAAATCTCCGTGGAAACCATATTTTCGCACTCTCACCGTCAAATCAGTCTCGATACCGTAGCCCCACATCCAACGGTACGCCATCTAAGTGGTCCGTCATGCCCTGGCTATTCTCTGACGTGAGGCTAAGCAATATGCGCTGCACCCCTCTATTCGTTTTCCCCTCTTGAAATGTATGCTGTAGCACGTGTTTTCCTTCTTCCGTAAGCCGAGCATACCTGCGATCACACAATCAAACATTAAGGGTGCTCTTCGTGCTATGCGTAAAAAGGACTCTATCTTGCTTTTCCAAACTCACACACACACACAAAGCTAGCCAGCTCGTGGAACTTTTAAATTGACAGAGAATGCAGTTGAGAAGAAAATAAAAGTGCAGACACAACAGCAAGACCTTTGATAAATTTTGAATTTAATTTTGAGATGGGCTTAAGTATCAAACTGGTGAGAGGTACAGTGAATCTTTGACCAACAAAATCAGTAGTGGATATATAGCCTAAAAGTAACTGGAACAACTCCAATCCAGATCTTCCCGCATGCACAGTGCAACCCTAGTAACAGTACGTAAAAATCCCAACGTATCATCAAGAAAGAACCCCAAACCCCAAGAATCCGAGAAGAGAACATTTCATCCCGGGTATACATCGTGAAAAAGAAAAAAGAAAAAGTAGTGACGAAACTCCCCCCAAAAAACCTAAACCTTAAAAGTCTATAAAAGAAGAGAAGGAATAGGAAAGAAAATTCAAAACGATTGGTATTGGTATCCCCGCTGTGCTTGCAATCAATCAATCTTGGTATAACGAAGAAAGAAAAAAACATGTGAAAAGTAAAAATCCCAAAAAAAAAAAATCCCAGAAAACTTTTTATCTCATCTCAATTCCTCGTATCCTTTAATCCGAGCTCACGCTCGAATTCGAGGATTCTGATGTTTCGGAGGATTTATCATCGTGGAGGTGGGCTTCCCATTCAGCGACTGACATGGGTTTTTCGGTCATGGCTGCCAAGCGGAAAAGGTGGCGGGCTTGAATACGGGAATCGTAATCTACCGTTGCAGTGTCTATTCTCTCTGTTAGAAATTGTTTGTCAAGGGAATGGTAGAAATGATAAAACATACGTAGAGTGCTTCGGCCATCAAACATAACCACAGAGTGTTTTTCCCATCCCACTCTAGCCTGGAAATCGTGGCCCATACAAACATGATCCACCAAGAATTTCATCAGCATTTCCTTCTCGCCATCCTTGAGCCCGACAATATCGGTCAAGAATTCCGAGTTGAGGTAGAGCGCTTTTTCGCCCGAGACGGGGTGTACGCGAACGATTGGGTGCAGGGAATCGATCGGGTCGGTTCGGACTGTTCCTCGGGCGGCGCGGGCATAGCCAATCATCTTTTGCGATGAATGGTTTGCCTTGAGGTCCTGTATCATTGCGCGGAAGGTGGGCGAGAGGCGTTTGTAGGCTTCCACGGTGTCGGCAAATACGGTGTCACCACCAACATCGGGGCATGCTAATACTGGCCAGGTGTTAGAAATGTTGAAGTCTGTAGCTAGGCGTGAAAACTTACTGCCAAGCATAATATATCCAGGAGGCTGTTTTTCATAGCTGACATCGTGATGCCAGAGTGTGGAAGTCAATTTCTTCTGGAAGAAATTTGCGATTTCCTCTTCGTTGTGATCGCGATGAATGACATGGAAAGGAGGGTGTCCCTTGACGGAGCCAGATACAGGCTGAATGCTCAATGGTCCGAAATAGGACATGAAATCTTGTTGGAATTGGGGACCGGCGTGAAGAAAGTCGGATTGTTCTCGGAGAACAACAATTTTCCGCTCGGTTATCAAAAGTGCAAGTTCGTCTTTGCCTGCGTCAGAGAGCTCCTCCATTTTTACACCACTCAAAATAGTTCCCATCTTAGGCGTAATGTGCTTGGCTTTGACACCACCCTTGAAAAGGTTTGGCTTAGACTTGTTTGCTCGCAGGGCTGGGTCATGATACTCGAAGTGCTTAACTTCGTCGAACCAGACATCGTCCTCCCACTTCCTGTTTATTAGTGGTTGGTTAATGAAACGGGATTAAGCCTATCACTTACCGATGGAAGGTAGCTTGGGAATTCTGTTCGACATTTAGATCGCTGGTCGTATTCATCGGATACATGATTGTATGGGAGGTTGATGTCATAGCTAATCTCTGGGACAGCTACTTCATCCTCTTCTGTGAGTCGACTAGGTGCCATGGTGAATGGTCGAATTGGTATGTATATTATGAATGATAAAAGAGATGGAATGTGATGAAGATGTCGGACGGAAGACGAAGATTTGATATAAATATGTAGAAGTGAAGTAAAGTCTCAAGGGTCCTCGATAAATTAAGAACTTGATAGTTGGGATATCCTCGGTTGAAGACCTATTAAATATAGCTTGCAGATGAAGGGTTGGGTAACAGAAGAGCTTTAGAAGGGATGCCAATTAACAACCGTTTTCAAATGCGGAGCTCAACGGTTGTCGTGTAGCTTGTTATTTGCTCTTCGTCAGATTGGAGATTATCAGTACTGTAATGCAGTAATAACACTTTAGCAAGCGGTGAGGACCCACGATGGTGTGACATGGTGCTGGTTGCTGATCAGTCAAGGGTAGGATGAACATGGGATAATGGAGAAGAGAAAAGCCCGGCAGCTTAGCAAGGCCTTGTGGGGTCAATTGTGACAGGGGTTATGTACATGGAATTTCCAGAACATGGTAACCAGTAGGAGATAAAGTTTCCGTCGTAACAAACTGGACTTCTGATAATGACGAAGCTTGTATGACCCCTTAAACGCAACGGCCCGTGTCACAAAATTGGAATCGTAGCGCGACGACTAGGAATACCTAAACGTGGTATTAATGCGAGAAAGTTGAAACATCCTTACCTGAAGCCCAGGGAAGAAGTCCAGGAGGGAAAAAAGTACTAGATGAACGACATTAGATCATTGCAGAGCATGCAACAACTGTACAGCGAAGCCTTTGCTGATCTTGAGAAGACTTCGATCAGAACAACAACTCCTTACTTAATTACCTGCAAGCATGGGACTAAAATTTCACACACATACTAGGTAGATTTAGGGACCTACCTCTTTGCGTAAAGTTTGATGAATAACTCCTACGTTGGGCATAAGAACACAGAAGTGGAGCTTGAAGCGAGAAGGAACATTCGCTGAAATGTTCTAGCTGCGACTCGTGGAACATGGGACCTGTTGTAACTTCCAAGGCTATGCAGAATGTACAAAGGTAAGAAATGTGTGGAAACTATTCGGGGGATCCGGTCCAAAATTGTGGACTACAATCGCTTTTTAATTTACGAGGGTATATCCGAAGTGAGCTTTCATTTTTGCCCATGTTGAAACTTGCAAGCTTAGACCCCGAAGCGGTTGAAATTTGAAATTAGAAGATTGAGATTTGAAAAAGATGATGTGCATGGAAGTTCAAAGTGCGTGTTCGCCAGAGTTTCCACCAGGATTATATTTCGTCCCACTTGTTCCATAAGTTCCATTGATTTGTTCCACGCTTTGATGGATATTAAACCTTGTAGGCTTATACTTTTCGAACCACAAAAAAATGGATCAAATTTTGGATTCCACAACGTCAATTTTTTTCTCTCCATCTCTCTCTGTCTTCCACGCTAAAGTTCTGTTTAACTTTTGAACCCCCCATTTGCCCAATGCTGGTATCGTTTCTTCAATATACTCACAATTTGATGGTAGTAGAGTTCGCGTAATATTCTGGTCATCATCCCATATTCATCCAATAAGCTGATTCTGCCCTCGCCTCTCGCATGCATATTTGAGCATTTAATCGCAACATTTTCCTTCAGGATTATCGGCCACAGATTTCCATGTCACCGTATCGATCAGCAGACCGAGATTTGACAGGGCTTGCCGTATCTCCAAATTTTGCTTCGGAAAGAAACCTATACAAGCCCCGTCCAGTGGTGCTCGATTCATGCACAGAGATTTTCTCTGCAATTGTGGTTACACAGCATTTCGCACATGTGAACGAGTTTTGGCTAATGTTAAATCGTCATGATAATTGAGATACGGTGCCTTGAGCAGCTCGAAATGAATATCCTTAGCTCTTGCAATGATTGACAATTCAAGGTATTCGCAGCCCAGGAACTCAGAAGTGACTTTTTACAAGACAAAATTGTTCCATGCATACATCATGCTACACTTGCACTCTACTTCAACGGCGAAGTGTATTGAGGAAAATGGCATCCTTAAATTGTCCAATAATGATGCAAGAGGATACATGAGCTGCTGTGGACCGAATGCCTTTAGAATAACAGCGCACAAATGTCGGTCTTTAAAAGTTAATGTGCAGTGCGAGTTGGCCACAAGATGAAGCTCGTGGAAAATTCCCAATTCAAAATGACAATTTTACCAGTGCTCAGGTACCGTAGGTTTTGTCATCTGTGAATGACCAAAAAAGCGGTTTCATGCACAAGTGATAGTGTCTATCTAGGTGTGTGAGTCCATCTCGAGATGCCCAAGGTGGGGGGAAGAGAAACCGGAGTCATGTCAAATTCGGACGATGTTCCGATATGTTCATGATTTGGACCGAGGGGTTCTCTGAAACTTCGCGACGGTGTTGATCCGCTCGAGAACGAGCATAGCCTCAAGGGCGACGTAATCCACGATGTGATAGATAGAAAGACTCTATTGTCGGTGTTATCAAATCATTTGGCATGGCGGGGTCGACTTGAGAGTTGCGTGGACTGAGATGCTATATCCATGTATGCAATGAAGTCATTATTTGGTAAGCTAACTTCTTATATACTAACATAAAAGGCGTGTATGTAATGTATAAGTATGTTGTACGTGCCATTGGAGCCTTAAAAACCGCTTTAGGGCTGGGTCGGAAGCGATGTAACCGTGTCTAGCTAGCATGAGCGGTGAAGAAAGGGATTGTTTTTACTCTGCCTGATCCGTGATGACCATTTGAGATTAGCTGCATTGTCAATGCAGCATTGACATGCATCCAATTTGGAAGTTGGATAGTCGTAGGAAATACCTAGTCAAAGTAGCCTGTGGCTCAACAGATGTTCTGAACCGTCTTTCGATTATGCATGAGGTTAGCAAAACCTACATCGTACGATCAGACCATCAGACGATCAGACGTATATACGCCTTATTGATATAAGGGGCTTGCTCTAGTTTGGGTTGATTGTAGACTTATAGGAAGAGCCCTTCATGCAGAAAGCTCGAGTCAGTACATATAATAGTCGCATCTCAATCAATTTCTATCCACCAAAAATTAATTTAAGGGAAGAGCGTCGCGTGGTTCACACCATCGATCCTTGTTCATCCAATCCTTGTTCATCCAATCCAACGCAGGCTATCGAGGCCATTGACGCAGACGCACTTTGAGTAGGTATGCCCGACACTCTGAACGACGTGCATCTTGTCTCGGGAGAAAGCTCGGGAAGCCCAAGCACAAGGAACGGCTGGGCTTTGCTTTGCCAAAACAGTACGCCGGATTACCATAGACACAGTAGCTAAAGCCGGCGAGCTTTGTAAGGAACTAGCGGCACGTTGATGTAGACATTGTTTCCAAGAATCTATCGATTTGAAACTTGTGTAACTGAGAAAGCACTCAAGATGGCAACGAGCCATATGCCGAAAGCAGACAGGTATCCGGCTATAAAGCGGGCTAAACACCGCATTAAACCAAGACTTGTAGTAGTATTCGCAAGAATTGCCATATCAATCAACTCTTGAATAATAAACAAATGCCTCGGAGGCGGGAATTTACCCGTCAATCCCACAGTGTTATTCAAGACTTTGCAAGAGCCTTGCAAGGAGGATTCCCAGTCCCACGCTTTGTGGCAGAGCAACTAATAGACGTTGCAATGAACCGTACATGCCGTAGCCATTCGCGCGATGTTCTGAGATGCATAGCAATGTTTGCGTCATCATCGGCCGTTCAAGTTCGAAAACATCTCTGCTCGTGTGGTTTTCTAGTCTGGTCGTTTGTGGAATAACGCACGCATCAAGTGTGACAAGTTGAGCACCACAGATGAATGCAGATCTTGTCGTTTTTGAGATAAAAAAATCTGCAGGTGCTGGAACTGTATCGGGAATTAGATGTGGGTATTCCTCTCGTATAACACTGTCTTTCTCAGGTGGTAAATGTGATAATAGTAAATGTGTCGACGAATACTCAAGTCGAAACGAAGGAAGGCACAGTTTTTGGAATTGTAAAGTTGGCTCCTTTTCCTCCGGTCTGCCCGACACACTTCTCGCACTCGTATTCTCCTCCCCAAAATTTGTATCAGGTTTCAGGCACAGATTTGATGCCAAATCTAGCCATTATGCCCAGGCTGAAACCCCAATATTGCAATCTTCAATTCTTTTGAGATCCTTGATCTTTTGTTCATTGGTTTCTGCCACTTAAATCAAGGATTTGCGCCAGTCCATCCCATCGCCGTGTGCAGCTGATTTACCTGCCTTCCAATGGATCGGAACGTGTTTGAGATGTAAAGCCAGCTGATTTCTGCAATGATATGATTGATAAATTACCAGTATCATACTTTCTGCTTCTTTTAATTGAATGTTCGCTCTTCTTCCCTTCAAGTACTGATAATTTGTTCAGGTATGTAGATCCTACTTTATGGGATTCCAAATTGACGCATTATTGGTGAGGATCAAAGTGAGACAGGCCGGTGTGGAGAATAACGACGATGCTCGCTACCAGGAAATGAGTCTCAAGCTTCTGGAAGCTTTAGAAGGCGGAGCTCGGTCGGCTGGACAACAAACGCTTAGCTTTCAGGAGAAGCCAGTGACTGAAGGTTTGCAAGTGGACGCTGCTGTCGTGCTCGATTTCATGTTTATCATGTTCGTTTGCAAGTACCGAACGTGAAGCTTCTCGAAACTCTCACCTCCGATCATCACTTGTCTGCCGAAGATAAACCCAAATTTAGTTGTCGATTAAAAGTATCGACACACGTCGAAATAAAGAGTGAAAAGTTGAGCTCGAGTTGAAAAGGCAACCAAGAGTGAGGCGAAAGTAATTTAAAAGGAAGGATCTCGAGGGTTTCGACAACATCCTCAGTCAGACGACAGGGAGTGTCGCACCTGACCCATGGGATGAAGGCTTTCCGGGAAGTAAGATCCTAGGACTCATGTCATTTTGGGGATCCGATACAGGTAACGATTACTCGAATTAAACTCCATCTCCGATTTCTGATTTTGCGAGAAGTGTCATTGTTTGGCCAGGAGCGAACTGATAGAGTTTCAGTAAGGCTTGTGAAGGAAAACAATAAACATATGTATACACTTATTCTCAAGAATGGAAATAAAGAAAGATGCCAGAACCAGGTGGGATCACTGTGATATATATATTTCCATGTTACTCAACATCCAGAACCCCTTCTATGGCACAATCCATGCTAGTGAGGTGGAGTATTTTCCCAGCAGCCGCAGCTCGCGCAGTATGCGAAAAATATCATCACGTGAAACTCCCTGAAGCGATTTAAATCTCATGGCGCAAATTATTTTGGCTAACTACCGGCACTATTTTAGATCTTGAGCGAAAGATAGTTCTTTTTGCAAAAGAATGGGTAACTGGTACCAGGATCGGAATTTTTGAGTCTATATCCAAAAGTCTTTGGAAAACGAGGTTCATTGGGCTGCCTCTTTTCCTCAGTCCAGAACCTCTCATCTATAATTATACGATATCCACGGTTACACATTGGTGACACGGGGCTGTGATGCAGCCAAAAGCTCCCTATCATTTCCTCAACGAATGGCTCAACATGTACCAATCTGTTGTACGGTGCCGAAAGGCGCGCTACACAAATTAATCAGATGCATGAAGTCTCACACACTTACCCGTTGGAGAATAACGACGATGAAAAAATCGTTTGGCAAAAGCTTGCCTCCGAAGTGAACGAATTCAGGAATACTATAACACAGCATACAGCACAATCGGCAATGCTTCTAACCCTAAGTATATACTGTTTGTGTTGAAAATCTACAACGTTGTCAAGGATTACCCTGGACATGTTACCAAGGGCTGTCGCTTACCTGCATACATGAAGAATCGGTACTCGTTGTGCAGATACTGTTGAAGAATCAAGGCGTAATGTCCAAAGTGTTGAAGAATAAATGTTCAACTCACCAAGATGGCAGACAATTCTGAAATATTGTCTTCCAAGGACAGAGTGAAATCGGAGGATCGAAAGGGTTAGTAACTCATTGGTGCTGAGACGGGCCACAAAACTATGGGCTGGCACGATATCGACTCCCCGTGGGAGGGAGCGTTCGATACTCGCTTTGAGGCATATAGCACGATACATCCTGCAGCCACAAAATGAACGCTCTAATGGTGTTTGTGACTGGTATAATCTGAAAGACTACCCAGTGAGTATTACGGGTCATTCGACTGCCACATGTGTACAGATGTCTGGCCACGATCTGTGGGAAGCTCTCCATTCGAAGTACAAATTTCACTGTGTGGAATTTGACATCGATAGTAAATCTGAGGTGCGATCTATGCTGCTGCTGAAGAGAAATACCAGCTTGAAGTTCTCTGCAAAAAAGTCATTGTTTTATTCGGACAGCTTAAAGCTTCTGATTTTTTGAGGTATTCTCGAATACTCCATCGTGCAAAGTTTTTGCTTTACACTCTGCATATTCTTGAACATTTAGTTCATCAGTTTTTATGCGTACTATTTCTGGTTCTTCAGTTGGTTTGCGCTTTTCTCCGAGCAACCTCTGGAATGAGAATCATTTTCTCCACATCAGTGAGCTTCAGATATGAGAGCTCAAAGGCGTGATGTCAGATACGAACCACTGAATCTGAGCCGGGTTGTCGGGCCATAGTCTATCTGGCAGTGCCAAAGCTTGGAAAATGGTGCCAGAGACTCCCCCCTCTCCCCAAAACAAGATACTAGGCGGCTTTACACTTTGGTAAATTAGCCCTTACTGAGAGCGCGAATTTGCATCCGTTTGGGCGATGTATTATGATAGCCCTGGAGACACTTTCAAGCATGAAAAAATTCAGAATGACAGGAAAACGAAAGCCAAAGATGATCCTGACAACAATTGCACATGTACTAGGGTTATGGAACGACCCGCAGATCATAATAAACTGTCAGATCATGTCGGTCAATCGCTTTTATTCTTTGTCAACTGTCATCAAAGATGATAGAGATTTGAGTCATACAGACCATCTTATTATAAAAATTCAGATCATGTAAGAACATAATCATGTAATATTTATATGACTGTCGAGGAGTTAGCTGTCAGGTCAAATGGTGTTATATGAATGATCGTGATATAACCATCCTATCTAATCTACAACCCTAAAATGTACACCATTCTTGGTGAGTTTGGCACCGAAACTCTGACAGTTCTAGCTACAGTGCGGTCGTCTTTCTAACCTCATTCCATCTCTCAGCCGAGATCATCAAGTGCTGTACATCCACAATGATCTGAAGATTCCGAAGGCGCACAACGGATTCCAACTTCACCTCCAGATATCTAGGTATTTGTAAGTACACCTGTCCACATATACTTGTCTAAAAGTCTCTTTGCTTTTTTGAACCTTTTTGAAAGTCAAGCATAAGAACCTTGGAACACTCCTCACAATATTCTTCATTCATCGATGATAAGTTCTCGAATATCTATATCATACTTTACAAGTTCGCTGATAAATATTCAGTTACTCTCTTCTTCACCCCGCGATTATTCAAAACGATTGCGAAAATTATTCAACATTTGAAGTGGATTCTAATTGTTGGGCTACCTAGTGTGATTTAAGATTCTTGAACGTGTAGAGTCAGTCAACATGTACATATGGTCTACCTACCTGATCATACTTGTTCAACACCATTTTGCGATTCCCTCGTCATTCCACCTGTTTTCTAAGATTGGAAACTTCCTACTCAGTACCATTTGGGAAATCTAAGGCTCTCTGACGATCATCGATTGGAAATAACCAACCGCTCTCTCAATCGTTACTCCTCTTTGATCAGTTGAGCCTCGAACGTTCACATGCCGAGTTACAGAAGCCGGGAGGTATAGTTGATCAGAGCCCGAGGTCCTGACAACAGGAACTTATACAACGAGTATTCGAGCTCTGTATCCAACGACCGTAGACTATGGATAGATAGAAAAGTCTTAGCTTCCAATTGTAGGAAGTATGGGAGAGATAATCATAACCTCCAAAGCTCAATCGGAGCTTTGTCGTGTAGAGTCTATTGGAAATAGAAATCTCGGTATTCTTATCTCTAGATCATTTGGTGCCAATTTGAATTTGAGAAGGACGTTATTATATAGTTCTCGACACGAACGAGGCTTGAGTTTTGCGCCGAATGGATAAAACTAATTGATAGCACGGGGAAAATATAATTAGAAAACTTAACGAGCATCCAAGAATGCGCGCAGAACTCTAATAGATACGTAGCAAGATAATAGTCGATCCAACAAGCTCAAAATCACAGAAAATTGAAAGCTGATCGTGGACATAATAAAATGCATGATATAACGACTTACGAATACATATTCGGTGGAGCAGTCAGAGAACATTGGAGAGTGAGAGAGTTCGCTAATCCCCCATAGAAAGTTCGCGAGTAACTTAAATTCTTGAACTTTCAGACTTATATTGATACACTATCGTGCAAAACCTTACAATAATAGAATAGAATCATCTTTTTCCAACCCAAACATCGCATCCAGAACCTTCAAGGCCCCGCTTTTCCGGCTGCCGATGCTAGGTAGACATGCCGATACATCCGACTCAGCCCTGCAGCTAGCGCAATGTAGCGAGTGACATTCGCTCGCGGACCGAAGAAGCAGCCAGACGCAGCGTTTGCGAGTTTGCGAGAATGCGCAGGATAGGATGCTCTTTAGTTACCTATACATAAACATCCAGTATGTATATCTCAAACAAAAAAACCCCTTTCTTCTTTTCGTTCACTTGCAGTTCATCCAAACTAAGAGGACCTTGCACAAACCGTTTCAATACCTCGCGCTAACTCCTAAAGCATAAACTTACGATAGGTACTAGTGGGGACATGGACGGATAGGACATTCGAAAGAAAAGTATACCTACCGAGCCTACGTAGATAGTATTGAAGATTTTATTTCCCAACCCCAATGATTCCTCAATACACGGAGTATACCTAGTAGATATCGCAAATATCCATTTCCACACTCGATAAACTCTCCACGCAAATCTTAACACAACCGCAGAAAAAAAAACTCAAATTCCCAATCCATTCCGCAGCTCTAGAAATGCGCTTCCTTCTCAAAGACATCCATCCATCCATCCATCCATAAATCAATGCACCCACTAATAAAATCCGAGATCCCACCCCAACACCCCAGCCATCCAGATCCTCGTACGATGCTACCCATTGCAGAATCTCCCACGGGCCACGGCGTACAAAACTCTCAACCACCATGATCAAAGCATGCACAGGCATGCGAGAAACCAAGCCCCCTCTCCGCAAATCGCAGCTGCGCGTACCTAGGTGCGAAAAGTAAGCATGTCATGCTTGCTTGCTCGCAGCTCGAAAGAACGAGGATACCGCTGCAGGCCGCCAAGCGGCTAAGTGTGTCGGGCGTGTATCACACGTAAAGGCTTACATCACGATTATATTGGGGGTGGATGGATGAACCTGTGAAGGATCGCCGGGTGCTGCGGCTGTGGAGGGTGAGGAGGTATAAGAGTGCTTGGGGCCCGGTGAGTGAATCATTCGGCTTTGTGGTATTTGCTTACTATCGTATTTATTTTTTTATCCTCGTGTGTGATTGGAATTGTATCCACGATATCTCTCTTCCTTATTTAACGATCGCTCAACCGTACCGCGAAATTCCTCATCTTCTTCTACGGTACCTACTCAAACAAAAATC